TTCTTCTGAATGAATTAGGAAATCATTGAACATTTTGAGCAGAGGAGTAACATGATCTCACTTCTGTTTTAATGGGCTTGCTCTGGCTGCCGTGAGAACAGATTTGGAGGTGGGAGGCTTGGTGGAGCGGGGAGATCGGTTGGGAGGCCAGTGCAAAAATAAAGGCAGGACATGCTGAATGGTGGCGCCAGGGTGACAATCAAGGAGGTGGTGAGAAATGGCTGGATGCTGGGTATGAGTTTTAAATAGAGCTAACTGGGTTTGTTGGTGGATTGAATGTGGGTTAAGGGACAGACCATACATCCTTAGTTGTCTGGGACTCTTCTCGTTTATATAATGAATTACATGGTCACTCTGGTTATGAGAAAAAGAGGGAAGTAAAAAATAGATCCAGGGTTTCAACCTGAGCAACTAGAATGGAGGTGTCATTTCCTGAGATGGAAATGCAATGAGGAGCTGGGTCTGGGAAGGAGTGGAGTCAGGAATTTGGGTTTGGATCTTTTCAAGTGCTTACGAGACACCCAAATGTGTCATCAGCACAAGGACAAGTTGAGTAGGTGGTGGGAGACCCAGGATGAGGACCGAGGTGGAGCTGGGACTTGGGTGTTGCTGGAAAGCAGAGTGCATGAGGCTGGATGCGATCATGTCCCTGTGATGAGAAGAGTTCTGTATGGAAGTTGGGGACTAAGGAGGAGCCCATGACGGAGAAGAAGAAGGAGCTGTGAGAGGAAAGGATGGGGTGCAGTGGGAGGCAGTGGGGGCGAGTGTACTTTGAGAGCTGTCTTCTGTAGCCAGTGGGCACCTGCTCACTGCTTTGAATGAAAATCTTCCTTAGATAAGTGCACTCCCTCATCTTAAGCAGTGGACAGGACCACAAGCTGGTCTTTTATTTTATTTTTTAAGATTTATTTTATTTGTGCATACAAGAGCTGGGATGTAGGCCAGACATTGGGGGCAGGGTGCTGAGAGCATTCACCAGAGACAGAGTCGGGGGCAGAACAAGCTGATTGACTGAAATACACTGCTGAGGGGAGCAGCGGGTGAGACAGGAAAGGTCGCTGCACCATGTGGGTCACCTCCCTGGCCAGGAATCAA